CACTCAGCATAATGTCCTCCAGGGTCACCATTTTGTAAATAATAATATATGAGTTCCTTGTTTTTCAATTCCTTTGAGATCTTAAAAGAGGTTATAGACCTCAGGGAACTCTGGTGACCTAGAGGTAAGGAGTTTGCACTGCCAACCCAGAGGCAAGCAGCTCGAATCTCCCAGCTGCTTCATGGGAGAAAGATGAGCAGCGTCCTCTCATGCTGTTTACAGGCTCTGAGAACCTACTGGAGGGCCAGCTATAAGTCGGTTCCAACTGGACAGCACGTAACAGCAACACACGCAACACACAACAGCAATAGAGATTAGAGGAACCTGACTCCCACCGAGAAAGAAGAGCTGGGATCGGAGCACCCACCTGGCCTCCAGTTGAGGCCAGCTCCTGAGGACCATGTGGGGCTGGAATCTTGACTGCTGTATCTTTGCCCAACAGAGTGGCTTATGGATTTGAACCCTCAACGTTATCACTCACAGCCACATGCTCAGCCATTGTGCAACAGGACTCCATGTGACTCTCTAGAACTCCAATTTAAATTCATTGCCATCAAATAGGAAATGACTCTCCAGCAGGTTTTTGGAGGCTGTAAATCTCGGGAGGGGAAATTGCCTGTGTTCCTTCGGTGAAGTCCCTGGTAGATTAGAACAGTGTGCTGACAGGCATGGTCTTTCATTTCAGGGCAACACCCTATATACTATATTTTTCCTCAGCCTTTGTCTTCTATGATCTTGATTTTTTTCAAGATTTCCAGGCTACATATTTTGTTATTCTGTGCTGGTGAATAAGAAGTGACTCACAGCTACTAATCCCTCCAGCAGGTTTTCAAAGACTAAATTATAATGGCCCAGGAGAGGATTGTCCATCTTTCTCCTGTGAAGCAGCTGGTGGATTTGAGCAGTGTACCTTTGGTTTGGCAATGCAACTCTTTACCCACTAGGCCACTTCTAAAGAGACCTCTTTATTTTACAGAAAGCCCCACAGTTAGGCTTTGTCTCCTCATGATTGTTTTCGTTGAGTAGGAACACTCATGGTGACCTTGTGATTAGATTCCAGTAATGTGGTTTTTCAGTGGGAATATTGTCCTCAGTCCATGCTAATAGGAGGCTCACTGTCCGCTCATTTCATGACCAGACATGTTGCCTTTGATCATTAAGGTAGGGTAGTGTCCACTCAGTTGTCCTACTATAAAATTACTCTTGTTGTTGTTGTGTCCCATTGGATTGGAACCAGCTCATAGCTGACCTTTCAGAGGCAGTAAATCACACAGGAGGAGATGGCTTTTCTTTCTCCTGCAAAGCGGCTAGTGGATTTGAATGGTGGGATTTTGTTTTGACAGCACAACTTCTTACCACTGATCTACTAGAGCTCCCTAACTCTTAGCCCCTGACAATGAATAAACACCTAGTGACAGGGAACTTGAAGATGCAAAGGCATTAGACTGTGTGGGTCATAACAAATTATGGATAATGTTGCAGATTATGGAAAAACAATTGTGCTTATGAGGAACCTGTACATAGACAAAGAAGCAGTTGTTCGAACAGCACAGGGGAACACTTTGTGGTTTATAATCAGTGAAGTTGTGTCTCAGAGTTTTGCCCTTTCTTCTTTTTTTTAAATTTTATTATTTTTTGTGAGTGTACTGTCAAATCGGATCTGACTGGTACAGGAGGAGATTGCCCCTCCTTCTCCGGCAAAGCATCTGGTGGATTTGAACCCCGTACCTCTGGGATTACAGTGCAGCTTCTTGCCACTAGGCCACCAGAACCCCCAGAGTTTTGCCCTTTCATCATACTTATTCAGTCTTTGTGCTGAGCAGATAGTCCCAGGAACTGGACTGTGTGAAGAAGAATGAGATATCAGGATTGGAGAAAGATTCTTTATCAACCTGCTGTATGCAGATGGATGGCACAGCCTTACTTGCTGAAAATGAAGGAGACTTGAAGCCTTTACTGATGAAGGTCAAAGTCTGCAGCCTTCAGTATGGATTGCAACTCAATGTTAAGGAAACAAAAATCTGGGGAGCTCTGGTGGCCTAGTGGCAAGAAGCTGCACTGCAATCCCAAAGGTGGGCAGTTTGAATCCACCAGATGCTCCACTGGAGAAGGGCAATCTCCTCCTGTGCCTGTTGGATCTGATTCGACAGCACACAGCAAGTAATTAAAAAAAAATCTATCTATCTATAAAAAAATTAAAATAATAATAAAACCCCCAAAATCCTCACAACTGGACCAATAAAAACAGAAGAGATTGACATTATCCTAGAGTTCATTTTACTTGGATCTACAATCAACATTCATGGAAATAGCAGTCATGAAATTGAATGCTAAGTTCCACAGGGGAAATCTGCTGTAAAAGACTGCTTTAAAATATTAAAAAGCAAAGATACCATTTTGAGGACTAAGGTGTACCTGACCCAAGACTGTTTTCACCTACCTTCTGTGCCTGTGAAAGCTGGATGGTGATGCATTTGAATTAAGATGTTGGGGAGGAGTATCAACATGGAACAGACTTCTAAACCGAACCCATCTATCCTGGAAGAAGTGTGGCCAGAATGCTCTTTGGAAGTAAGGATGGTAGGAGATTTCATTTTACTGACTTGGGACGTGTGATCAGAAAGACCAGTCCCTGGACAAGGACCTCGTGGTTAGGAAAGGGGAGGGTCAACACAAAAGACCCCCAGCAAGATAAATTGAAAACCAAATACAAACCACAAGATGCATTGACACAGTGGCAGCAACAGTGGGCTCAAAGGGCACCAGCAAGGATGGTGTGGGATCTGGCAGCGTTCCCTTCTGTTAGAATAGTGTTGCTTTGAGTGGAAATGGACTCAGTGACACCTAACAGCAGCTAATCCTGTACTTGCTCAAACATTCACCTGCTTGTTTCAGCATTCATTGATGATTTTCTGTGTGTGCGTGTGTGCACCGTCTGACTGCTACAGACTGCTACAGAGATTGCCCCTCCTTCTCCAGCAGAGCATCTGGTGGATTCAAACCATGTACCTCTGGGATTGCAGTGCAGCTTCTTGCTACTAGGCCACCAGAATTCCCTAATTGATGATTTTCTAATGCCATCATACCTTTTCTATTTATTAGTTACCATTTTATTTGCAAAGAAGAAATTTTTCTTCCTTTATTATTTACAATTACTATGGGCTCATTGAGTTCTGTTTTATTCAGCAGTAATCATAATCCATATGATCATTATTTTACTTTAGATCGTTAGGGGTTTAAAAAAATTTTATTTTACTTTGATTTGCTTACAAAGTTTGTATACATTGTGTTTCACACTATCCTTCCTTCACATTGTTTCATGCAATTATTCACATTCATTATGTTTCATAAGATTAGTTATCATTAAAAAAATTAGTTATCATTGAACTGTGCCCACTATTACCCTGTCTTTCCAGATCCCCACCAGGTCTTTCCCATTTCCTTTAACCCCCTCATGTGTGATCCTATGATTTCCCCCTGCCCATCCTCCCCCCCTGCTCCCACCGTCCCCCCTAGATCATTAGTTTTAATATTTCAGAATGCCACTGAATTCCACCTCTTGGTTCTTATTTACTATATATACTCATTACTCTCAAGTGGAAACTGACTCAGCTGACCCCTCAGGAGGTTTTGAGAGGCTGTAAATTGCACGTGAGAAGATTGCCCAACTTTCTTCTGTGGAGCAGCTTGGTAGATTTGAACTGCATGCCTTTGGGGTGGCAGCACAACTCTTTACCCACCAGGTCAACCAGAGCTGTGAGAGAAACAGCATTACGTACTGTTAGGGACTGACTTCTCCTTCTCCCCCTCCACTGCTATATATATATATATATATATAGTCCAAGATCCTCATCCTTATATAAATATATCCTCTGTCTTGTGATCTGATGTCATTATCCTAAATGCTGTAAATCCTAGCCTTTCTTATACTAATGAGGCAGGATTAAAAATAGGCTAAGGAGGCAGGATACATTCTAAGGAGTAGGTCTGTCTCCATTCAGCATCTCTGGCAGTTCAAATCCACTAGCGGCTCTAAGGGAGAAAGATAGGCAGTCTCCTATGCAACTTACAGGTTCTGAAAACCTGCCAAAGGGTCAGCTATGAACTGCTTCCTGCAAGATGGCAATGAGTTTGACAGGCAGTTTAAAGGAGACATAGTGTCTGGTTCTCAGAGTGACTCTAGGTCCTGTAGGACCTCACGAGTTGTTGTTTCTTAGGTGGCAGCCATAACAGAGCTTTTACACACAATCTGTGAGGCCAGCTGCTCCCAATGGCTGTCCCTTTGAGCCCATCCCACAGCTCTAGGCCTGGCTGGCTGCTTCTGCAAAACTTAAGCAGGAAAACTCCAGGGCAGCCCTGCTTCTTGAGCCCTTCACAGAACAGGTTTGCTGACTACTGCTGTGGATCCTGGCCCCTGGCCAAATGTGAAGTGATGCGTCAGGCAAGGTCCTTGTGTAGGGAAAGAGGGGGTGAATGAAGTTTATTGAAAGGAATGCTCTATCTCAAGTGGGTGCCTCTCACCTGCATGACTGTTCTGTAACTCTAGGAAGCCCCAAGTGCCTGATTCTAATGCTCAGATTGTTTAAGAGCTGGTTCCTGTGAGATTCTGAATCCATCGTTCCTCATCCATCTGGAAGATAGGATTTGATGGATGAGATAGATGGCAGACAGAGAGAGAGAGAGGAAGCCAGGCCCCCTCAGGAAGTGTGTACTCGGAGATAACTGTAATACATTCCTGCCCTCATGGTGCTCACATTCTTACTTGTGGACACTTATTCCTCCTGCCCCAAGTCATTGAGAAGGGGCAGTTCCTGAGAAGGGGGGCTCAGGAAGACCCAGTACAAATTTTAGGAGGGATGGATCAGGAATTGGTATTTAGACAGGTCCTCTTTGAGATCCTGATAGCCACACACCTCTGTCCCTAACTCCCTGACAATATTTCATGTGTCCTCCCCCCAATCTGACATGTTCCCTGTTCTTCTCACCCAACAGCCAGGACAATGCAGAGTCTACTGAGCCACCCCGTGCCCCGGCCAGTCCCTGTGCTCAGGCTGCCCCGGGGTCCTGATGGCACAAGCCGAGGCTTTGCCCCTGATGGTCGCAGGGCTCTCCTGAAGCCGGAAGCCCTGGAAATGGAGGAGTCGCTGGAGTCCCAGGAACAGCAGGCCCGTGCCGCCCTGCGGGAGCGCTATCTCCGAAGCCTGTTAGCCATGGCCGGTCACCAGGTGCGCTTCACGCTGCACGAGGGTGTGCAGGTGACGGCAAGGTTTGGAGCCACTGACTTGGACGTGGCCAACTTCTACGTGTCACAGCTGCAGACTCCCATTGGTGTGGAAGCAGAGGCGCTGCTGAGGTGCAGTGACATCATTGCCTATACTTTCAAGCCCTGAAAATTACGCTGGGTTCACAGAGCTGCTCAGACCCTAGGATCCCGGAAGCTCCCAAGCTAGGGACACTACTGGGATTCAAAGACACTTGCCTCTCACCCCCTTGGCACTCTGGGTCTCTGAGGTTCTGAGCAAGAGCTCTAAGTCACACTGGCTGGGTTAGTCATTAGAAGTCTGCAGCCCCAGGGAGTCTAGATCTTGTTGAAAGGAATGCTCTACCTCATGCCACTCTGAATTCCACAGAAAGAGAAGTCTCGTGCTAGTTCTGCAAGGCGGGGGCAAGAAGAGAAGGCAAATGGCAAGAGTGGGAAAATGTGTTTTGCCCTTCCTGAAAATACTCCCTGCTCCCCCTCCTGCCAAAGAGCCAGTTGTTTGAAGAAAATGAGACTCAAATTTTCTTGGGTTTTATTGTTGTTCTTGTGTGTGCGTGCACCTCACAGAATCTGGGACAGGTTTCATGTGTGAGAGAATGGTGCAGTGGTTAAGGGGTCCAAGGTTACGAGGGGCCAGTACCAGCCCATCAGCTGTGCCCAGAAAGAAGACATGGCAATCTGCTTCCAGGAAAATTCCTGTCTTGGAAACCCAGTGGGCAGTTCTACTCTGTCCTCTAGGGTGGCTGAGGGTCAGATTTTCCAGAGGAATGAGTTTGGTTTTCGAGTAATGGAGGTTCTTCAAAAGCTGCAAGTATGGGACAGCACCGGCCACTCCACCCCATCCCCGCTGGGAAAACCACCAGAGGGTCTTGGATATCAGCTTTGGGAACTTTAGACTTGATCTCAATCTCAGTTTAGGGAGTGGAGTGGGAATGGACGGTGATAAAATGAGGGATGTGGTGGCCAACCATCCCCGCCTCTTGGAGTGGGCTTGACAGGAAGAGCCTTAGATTTGCTCCCTTGACTGCATTAATGGTGGTTATATACCGGTTAGTGGCGACAAAGAGGTTCAAGGTTAGAGAGGAAAGTGGATCCCCTGATGTTAACATCCACTCTTCCTCCATGTCATTTTAGTCCCCTCAAGAGTTCTGGCTGCATAGAGCATAACAGATTGGCTGCTAACAGATCAGTGGTAGAAGCCTCTGCCAGGATAGAGGATGGTCTCCTCCTTAGTGGATTTCTGGCCTCCAAATCCTAGTGTTGTTATTGCTGTCTAGTCAAGTAGGACTCATAGAGATCCTATTGACAACAGATAGGATCCTATCCTATCCTATCCTGTGCCATCTTCATCTCTGACATACTTGAGCCTATTGCTGCTGTCAGTATATCAGTTCATCTCATTAAAGGTCTTCCTCTTCTTTGCTGACTTCGCTCTTCCAAGAATAATGTCCTTTTTCAAGGAATAGCCTCCCTCCTAATAATATGCCTAAAGAATGTAAGACAAACCTTCCCCCCTATATTTGCAAGGAGCACTCAAGCTGCACTTTGTCAAAGACATTTTTTTCATTCTTTTGGTATTCCTGGGGATATTCAGTACTGTCTTTCAAGACCACAGCTCAAGGACATCGATTCTTCTATCATTCACTGTCTAGCTCTGACATGCATAGCAGGTGTTGGAAAGATTGTGACCTGAGTCAGGCACACCTTAGTCTTTAATGTGACATCATTGCGCTTCAGGACTTTGGCCTTTGGGATTTCCTAAAAGCCAGATTGCCCAATGCAAGTCACTATGAGCTGGAATGGACACTATTGCATTGAATATAAATGCCCTCAACAAGACGGATTGACAAAAAGGGTGCAGCGGTAGCCTCTGATTTAGCAACTGTGAAAATAACAGGATTTTGAATAGTGTTTCATTTTGTCGCACATAGAATCTCTATGTCCTAGCAACAGTGTAACACAAGGATCCCTGGTGTGTGAGATCATTAAGCTACAATCGAAAAGGCCAGCCCTTCTAATGCACCAGCCTCTCTAAGGGAGAAAGATACAGCAGTGTGCTTTCATAAAAATTAGTCTTGGAGGGGAGCTCTGGTGGCCTAGTGGCAAGGAGCTGCAACTACAATCCCAGAGGCGCACGTTTCGAATCCACCAGATGCTCTGCCGGGGAAGGAGGGACAATCTCCTCCTGTACCAGTCAGATCTAATTTGACGGTACACTCACACAAAAATAATAAAATAAAAAAAAATTCCTTTCTAAAGAAAGTCTGCTGTTAGGGACCTCTCTAAAGTACTCAGGAACAACGGTGTCTCTCTAGAGACTAAGATGTGCCTGATACAGGCCATGGTATTTGCAATCGCTTGTTATGCATCAGAGAGTTGAACAATGACTAGGAAGGACGGAAGGAGAGTGGATGCTTTTGAGCTGTGGTGCTGGAGAAGAGTACTGAATGTACCATGGACTGCCAGGAAAACAAACAGCTTCATCTTGGAGAGGATTAAACCAAGCTACTCCTTGGAGGTGAGGATTCTGGGGCTTCATCTGACATACTTTGGACATGTTGCCAGGAGGGACGGGTCCTTGGAGAGGGACATCATGCTTGGGAGGGTGGAGGGACAGCGCAGGAGGGGAAGACCCTCTATGAGATGGATTGATTCGGTGACTGGGGTAATCGGGATGGGTGTGTCAGAGGCAGTGCGGTTGGCGCAGGATAGAGCGGGACTTAGGGCTGTTGTGCATAGGGTTGCTATGAGTCGAAAACGACTCGACGGCACATAACAACAACAACATGACAAAAAAATTAGTCTTGTAAAAAAAACCACAAAAAAAACCCAACAACAACAAAATTAGTCTTAGAAACCCCAATTCGGCTCTGTCCACTAGGGGCAGTGTGATTCAGAATCCACTGGAAAACGCGAGTTTTGTCTGATTGACAAAAAGGGTGCAGCGGTAGCCTCTGATTTAGCAACTGTGAAAATAACGGGATTTTGAATTGTGTTTCATTTTGTCGCACATAGAATCTCTATGTCCTAGCAACAGTGTAACACGAGGATCCCTGGTGGCTCAGTGAGTGTAATCATTAAGCTACAATCGAAAAGGCCAGCCCTTCTAATGCACCAGCCTCTCTAAGGGAGAAAGATATAGCAGTGTGCTTTCATAAAAATTAGTCTTGGAGGGGAGCTCTGGTGGCCTAGTGGCAAGGAGCTGCAACTACAATCTCAGAGGCTCACGGTTCAAATCCACCAGATGCTCTGCCGGGGAAGGAGGGGCAGTCTCCTCCTGTACCAGTCAGATCTGATTTGACGGTACACTCACACAAAAATAATAAAATTAAAAAAAATTCCTTTCTAAAAAAAATTAGTCTTGGAAAAAAAAAACCCAACAAAATTAAGCCTTAGAAACCCCAGTTCGGCTCTGTCCACTAGGGGCATTGTGATGACTGCCCTCTCAACTCGCCTTGATTTACTTACTTAGTCCCTTCTTACTAAATGAGCCCCACTGTTGTTCGAAGATTTTAAAAAATAGCTTTTGACACCTTTTGCAATCTTCTATTAAGAAGGATTACAAGTTCAGAATGTAATAAAATAAATTCCATTAAAAATATAATAGATTTTGTTGTTGTTTTAGTGGCGAAAGTGTGGTAGCCGAAGCTGTTGATTTAAGCTGGAAGCTGCTTCGATTCTCACCTGTCCATTCACAACACGATTTCTGGGCGGACCTGGCCCCGCCCTCTTTAGTTGCCTTGGCAACGACGTCGAGCGTGCCCCTCCCTACGCCTCATTATTAGTCTTAGCCCCGCCTTCTCAGGTGCTCGATGGGCATTTCAAGTATGGTGAAAGTGCGGGGGCTGTTATTAAGCTATTGAATTAAGCTTGTAAAGGGCGTGGCTTAAGGTAGCACTCTGTCGCTTCAAACACAATATTCTGAGTCGCATATTCGTCTTTTGCCTTTGGCATTTCTTCCCTCACAGTTGAAAAGAAACGCCAGAGATGTGCTATTCTCCGTAGGCTCCTATTTGCTTTGTCATGTCATATTAAATTCTATTTTGAGCAGTACAGAATACACCTAGAGACTACCAAGACTTCGTCTCTAGGGCAGAGGCATCTTCGTCCGCATACATCATCAGTACATATTCAACACAGCTATCATGGTCTTTCTTCTCAGGCTCTGCATTTGTCCTCTTCAGTTTAGTCGCATCCTGCCAAGAAGATGGTTTTTATTTCTACCAACTCCATTCCCTAGCCAGCTGCACCCGTGACAATTGCGTGCGAATTCGAGCGTTAGGCGGCGGGGGCGGGGGGAGGGGTCTGGCTCGCGCATGCGCGCTGCCCTGGGAGACGGTGTTCAATCGCCCCGCCCCCCGTATTCTGCGGTTCCTGCTCTGCAGATTCACTACACACGTTCCTTTTCTCCATGACTTTCTGCTCTTTGTTTCGCTCGCATGTCACTTATGAGATAGCTCCTCTGACTGCCAGTAGCTGAACCAAATTTTCTGTCTTTGATACTAGACGGTAAACGCATCGGATTTAGGCGAAACTGCGGCTGCGGACGAGCAGGTGCATTCGGGCTCTCGGCGGCGACGACTACGACGACGAGGAGAGAGGACGGAGGCGGCGCCTGCAGCAGCCGTGGAGCTCATGCCCGGGGACGGCGGGCTGACCCGGAGAGACGAGTCCGGGGCCCGGGGCATGTCCCCGGGGCCCCCGTGAGGAGGCGGCGGCGGCGATGGAGCTCCCGCCGCAGGAGGCATTGCCCGGGCCGGGCGCGGATGGCGACGCCGAGGAGGCCCCCGCCGAGGCCCGGCCCCCCAGCCCCGCATCACCCCCAGCCGACGGTCGCCTCAAGGCTGCGGCCAAGCGCGTCACCTTCCCTTCCGACGAAGACATCGTGTCCGGAGCAGTGGAGCCCAAAGATCCCTGGAGACACGGTAGTTACGGCGAGGGACCTGGACCTTCGCGGGGGGTCACCATGGGGCTCGGCACGGAGGCGGCGCCCCGAAGTTCCACTTGCTGATTAAAGGAGACACTTTGAGGGTGGATAGGGGTTAGAAGGGAGGGTCGTTAAACGGCCAGGAGGTGGGCAGGTTTATATCCTTTGCGTGTGAAGTTTCTCCAGCGAAGGGCAGGGAGCGCGGGCTGCTGGAAGCGTGGGTCACCGTGGCCTGGGGAGGGGTAGTCGGGGGATAGTTGGCTGGGCCTGTGCCGCTGGCACGAGCCCAGGTTGCTGGCTGGCGAGCCCTGGATGGAAAATACTGGTCACGTTCATGCCTGAAGGGAAGAGGAGGGTTAAACGTGGACCGGGGCTGTAGAGGATTGGGCGAAACTGTCACGGTTGTTCCCAGCAAGGGAGCAGAGGTGGTGGTCAGCATAGGGACGGGTCGTCGTCGGAGGTGTTAGATCTTGGCATTTAGAGGAAAAGTGACCGCGTGCTGTCATTACCCCCCCCCCCACACACACACACAGGCAGCAAGTCCGGGCTGAGTCAGGGACCTCCCTATAGAAAGGTCTCCTCATTTAAACTGCAGAGAGTTGGATAATGTTATCAGGTCAGGACACAACCTCCTGGGTGGCACAGAGCATGTAAGTTCTCGACTTATAAAGGCTTGGAGGTTCAAACCCATTCACAGGACGGGCCTCCTGGCCTTCCGCTTCCGAAAAGCTCTGGGGTCAGTTCTGTTCTGCACCCGTTGGGGGGGGGTGCCCACGGTGAGTCAGAGTGGACTTGAGAGTAAGTACAGCAGGTGAGGTGAGGAATGGGATTTTCTGGTCAGTAGAAGGTTGAGGGTGTTGGAAAACTTGGGTAGCTTGAGATGTGGGGAGATGGAGTGAATTTGTGGCCTCAGAAGCTGGGTCATTAGAGGTTAAAAGGTCAGGTCGGTGTTGACACCGAAACGACAGCTGGAGGAGAATGTGGGACCGGGGACCAGGAGAGACAGAAAGTCACAGGTCTGTGGGCACTCGGACCACAGGAGGGGACAGCAGTGCTGTGTCTATTTCTGTGCTGGAGAGGCCTTTTTTTAGTGTGATAGAACCTGGGGAAAGAAGATCACACCAGCTAGTGCGTTCTAGCGACTGGTCTGCTGGCCTCCAGGGGTAGGAGAAGGAACAGTTGGCAGCCTGTGTGTGAGCAGTGGAGGAGAGGGTGGCTTGGAGCCGGGGGGTTGGGGCGAGGGTGGGAAACTTGGTAACCGGAAGCTGCACACACACATACGGGGAACGGCTGTAAATGCCAGCTTGGCTGGTTATTGTTAAAGCGATGGTGGGTAATTTAAGACTCTTGGCATTGGGAGCCAGCCAGGTTGCCTGGGCTCCAGGCTCCTGGGATTGAGGACACTTTGGAGTCAAAAGACTGGGAGATTGAGGTCAAGGAAAAAATTGTGGTTATACATGGCATTCAAGATAGTGAGTTAGGAGCAGAAAGAGGGAGACCTGGAGAGGATAAGTTGGGGGTGGTCAAGAGCAGAAGCTCTGTGACCTTGGGTTGATTTTCCCCTTTGAGCCTCAGTTTTCTCCTCTGTAACCCAGAGCCCACTGCTGTCATCGATTCCCACTGATAGCAACCCTCCGTCTGATTTCTGAAGCTATAAATCTTTATTGGAGAAGACGTCTCACCTTTCCCTTGGAGTGGGTGGTGGATTCAAACTGCCAGCCTTTTGCGTTGTAGCCTGGTATATTACTACATCGTCGGTATGGCTTCTCACCTGTAAAGTGGTTAATAACACCTACGCCACAAGGTGATGAATGAACAGAAAGAGATCGTGTGTGAAAGGTGATAGCAACTCATGAAGTTGCAGATATGTTGTTATTAAGGTGATTTTGGTCATGTTAAAAGCCAGAATAAAGGAGTGGGTTCTGAGGCATGAAGCCTGAATGTTGCTACTATAGAAGTTTCTGGAAGAGGGGCAGAAGTGGTGGTCAGTTTGTGGGCAAATGGGGAAGGACGAAGAAGTTTGGCTCGCAGGTACGTCAAGAGATTTACTAGCTTACAGAGCTGGTAAAACTGCCTTAGCTGGGCTGAGGCGGAGAGAAGCGTCTGGCCAGGGCTTGGCAGCAGAGGAGTTGACTTGGAGAGAGTACGTAGCTCACCAGGACAGCGGAAGAGCTGGTCAGTTTGTGGGCTGGCAGGTCAGTGGTGAAGGCAGTTGGGGCATTTGGCACAGGTTGGGAAGGGAAGTTTCTTGACTGTAGCTTCCCAGGAGAGGAACAGCTGTTTGCAACCAGCTGTTTGGCTTTGAGGAAGTCCTTTTTCCTCTTTGAGCCTCTTCTCTTACTGTCTTTCTCTGCAGATGGAGGGATTTGATACTATTAGATACTGTTAGAGGATGCTTGTAAGAATTTAACAAAATAGTTCTTGTAAAGTGCCTGCCACTTTAGTAGCATCTGCTGTTGGTCACATGGAGTCCTTAAGTGGTGCAAACAATCTTTTTTGTTGACAGCTAACAGAAAGTTTGGAAGAAAGTCCTGGTAGTCCTACTTCTGAAAAACCAACCATTAACTTATTATCAATTGAATTGTGTGTTCCCAAAATAGTGTTGACTTGGTTAGGCCATGATTCTCAATAATAGGTAGTTATGCTATTTTGTCATCTGATGTAATTATTTTGTGTGTTGTAAATCCTAATCTCTATGATGTTAGCAAGGCAGGAAGGTGGCAGTTATTTTAATGATGCAGAATAGGCTCTACAGGATTAGAATGTGTTTTGATTCAGCATCACTTGAGATTTATAAAAAGAGATTACACAAGTGAGCTGAGAGAGGGAACATACTACCATCAAGAAAGAAGAGCTGGGACCAAGCATGTCTTTTTGGGCTTAGGGCTCCTGGAGACATGAGAAATCTTCCCCTAAAGCCAGTTTCCAGATTCAGACATCTAGCCTCCTCAACTGTGAGAAAAATAGGTTTATGCTTGTAAAGTCATCAGTCTGTGGTATTTCTCTTACAGTAGCACTGAGAGCTCTGGGGGCTTAGTGATAGGGAGCTGCACTGCCAACCCAAAGGCACACAGTTCGAATCTTCCAGCTGACCCGTGGGAGAAAGATGGGCATTCTCTTCCTGGGTAATGTGCAGCCTCTGAAAACTTGTTGGAGTATCAGCTGTAAGTCAGTTCTAACCTGACAGCAGCACTTAGCTGCAACAGCTTCCTAAATTGTAAGTAAATGCATTTGAATTTATTAAGGTCATTCATTTATGGTATTTCTGATACAGCTTTTTAATTTTTTAAAATAGCCCAGAAAATCTTCCCCTTCTCCAGGGTTTTAAGTATTTGGGTAACCTTAAAGAGGCAGGAGGCAGTGAAGGAGTTTTAGGGGCAACAGATGTCTTGTAAGGCAGTAGGTCAGTTGGAGGCTTCCTGGGACTTGAAAGGAGAGTTACTGATTGACCTAGTGAAAGGTAGGGGCAAGCTGGGGGCAGTCTCTTGTTCCTGAAGGCTTAGGAAAGGTGACAAGGACAGGACAGGCCCCCCACTCCAGGGGCAAACTCCAGGTCCGAGGTGGAGAGGTGGTGGCGTGGAGAGATCACTCAGGCTGTGGGGCTTGGAGAGTTGGTTGTCTTGGCTGAGGTGAGGTGTTGAGTTGGCCAGCAGTGGGAGCTTTGTATGATCTTATATCTAGTGGTGAAGGGGTCCTTGGTAAAGTTGGTGAGTTTGGACAGTGGATTGACAGACAAATTAGGGGGTGTTGTCCATGCCAGATGCCAGTTGGGTAGTGTTTGTGCCTGGAGAGGACAGTGGGGCCATGGACCATGGCGGTGGAGGGTTTGCCTTGCTGTAAAGGGGGAACTGTGGTGCAAAACTCTGGCCCAGGAGCTAGTGCTGGGCAGGGTGGACACGGCTGGGCTTAGGCTGGAGGTGGGAGAGCATTTGGAGTTGGCCTGTAGAACTCCGGAAAAGCATGGTGAGGGGTGCCATATGAGTGAGAAAGGTGGTGGAGGAGTTACTGAGCATTGAACTGGACCAGGAGGTAGAGAGAGGCCCAGGCCTAGAGAAAGCAGCACTCGGGAAAGAGGGGTCCCAGCAAGCACAGGGTTCCTGCTCGGCCACCCTGACCCAGGGCCTCACTGCTGTAGGAGATTAGACGGGGCCCTCAGTTGTCTGAGCAGCAGAGCCTCCATCGGCCATCCATGGAGCCCAGGGCCGGGGGAGTCCTGGAGGATTGAGATGGTGGGGTTCACCTCATCACCTCCAATGGACTTCTCTGGTCTTCACATCCCCTCCGATAGTGATCCTCACCACCCCCGTCCTCGGGCTTGCTTTTTTTCCCCTGTGCTGATGACCAACATTACCATGCGTGTTTACCTTCCTGTGAGTGGTCTTCCCTCACTGGCACAGGAGGGCAGACACTGAGCTCTCCTATTTCCCATCGCTTTCCCAGCCCCTAGCATGATGTGCTGTGATCCTGCCCCAGTGGGCACCCGCGGGCACATAGGCGGTAACAGGGAAAAGGCTTAGGTGGCTGATGAGAGGCACCCAGCAGCCTGGGAGGCTGTGTGCCCCAGTAAGGACCTTGTTCTTGCTGGACCTGGTTTGTTTCCTTGTCTGTGAAGTAGAGGCTACCAGGAGGTCTGGCAGTGGGATGAAGTGGGCCAGGGCCAGGCTCTCTGCAGCAGCAGATGTGTGTGGATGAGGAAGTGAAGCTTGGACCGGGCCGGGTGGAAACAGTGATGCCGTGTTCCCTGGGGCCCTGGGGCCGGGCATGAGTGCCAGCGGGAAGAGGGAAGGGCATACTGGCTGCTGGTGGTCCTTACTCCTGGGGCCAGCTGGCTTGGGAACCCTTCCAGACCAAACTGCAGGAAGGGCCTGAGGCTGGTCTCCCAGCCCTGGCTGAGCTGCGCGTGGGGAGGTGGGGAGGTGGCGTGGGTTCGGGAGCAGGCGGCCTGAGCAGCATGTGATCGAGAGCACGTGACACCGGCCACCGGCTGGGAGCCTCTCT